GATGCTAGTAATCAACTTTCTATTTTTAATAATATCATCCTAACAAAGAACCCTATCATCGCATATATGTCTCACCAAATAATTTTTAGTAGTAATAACACCTTAAAGTTTACAAAGCTCATTTTATACATTATCTTAACTCTAAAAGGTTTACATATGAAACAGGATCAGATATTTTAACAAGTTTCCCAAGGTCAGAGAGCTGTTAAGTGTTGAAGCCAAACTTTAAAGTATCTTCTAACTCCCAATGGGCAGCCTCAATCCTAGGAAGAAAGTGAAACAAGAACATGTGTAGAATTATGCCAATGCTTCTGCCTCAGAACCAAGAACAAGGGACAATGCAAGGAGCAATTCCAATTAAGATTCCTGGGTGGGTGGGGGGGCTTCTCTCAGACTCTGATATTGTTGTTTTTTTAAGATTTAAAAATTATTCACCAAGACTTTAGAAACAAACTCAGGATTTTTATACTAATTGCTAGAAATTAAAGAACAGACTTTGTTGTACTAGCTGCTGGGAGTGTTAACCAGGGGACAGTCCTCAGCTGCTAGCTCTTTTCAGAAATGCCTCAGCTAAATAGAGAATGGCCTCACCCAAAGTCACAGTACCAACTGGTGGCAGCCTATATCCATAGTCAAAAGCCTGATCTCTTTGACTCAATTCAGGATAATTCTGAAAGGGAATTCCAACGTCATATTCTTCATGAGTTTGAATAAGCCTTTCACTAAGACAACATCCTAACTCAGTTTTCCTTTCAGCTCAATCTGCCTCATCCTTTCTTCTATATACAGTCATTCCAAGAACCTAACCCATAGCCATACAGTTGATCTTGACTTAGAGGTAGCCATTCCAAAAATCCCACTCATCATCATTCAGTTGATTCTGATAGTGACCCTATCGGACTGAATAAAACTGCTCCAAGGGTTTCTATGGCCGTAAATCTTTATGGAAGCAAATGGTCACATATTTCTCCCATGGAGCAGCTAGTGGGCTTCACCAGCTTACCTTTAGTTACTAGCAAAGCACTTAACAACTGGGCCACTAGGGTTCCTTGTACTCCAAAGAATATTCCGTGTACTCCTCCCTATCTCATCATTAAAGATTCTGATTTTAAAACAGTAAACAACCTACTACTCCAAGTATTTTGCTCATTAAGGACGTACCTGGCAGTTAACACCTAAGTGCAATACAAGAAACACATGCTATGATGGTTATGTGTTAAATTGGGTGGACAAAGGTTCTCTGTGGTTTGGCAAGCATCTAATGATGCATTTTCCGATTTGTGATGTGATGGGGTCATCCACTATTTTTGCACAATGTCAATTTTTAAATAAGAATCTGGTCTTTGGAACATAATGCCATGTCAGTAAGTAATGGATGTAAATCTCCTGCAAAGCATTCTAATTAAGAGTTTGCTTCCCCAAGAGCTCAATCTTTGATACCCCTTAACCCACCATTCAGGAGCCCTGGTGGTGTAGTGGTTACATGATGGGCTGTGATACACATGGTTAGCAGTTCTGAACTAGCAGTTCTGCAAAACAAAGACTGGGCTCTCAACTCCCATAAAGCGTTACAGTCTCGGAAACACACAAGGGGTCGCTAAAAGTCACCACTGACTTGAGAGCAGTGAAGTTGGGTCTTTTTTCAGAACCCACAAGTCACTACATGTAGGAGAAATGTTTTGGTCTACCTCTGTAAAGATTAACAGCTGTCAAGTTGATTCCAATTCACAACTGAGCAGAACAGGTCCACAAGGTTTCTAAGGCTGTCAATCTTTTTTTCAAATCATTTTATTGGGGACTCGTTAAATTCTTATCAATCCACACATACATTCATTGTGTCAAGCACATTTGTACATTTGTTGCCATCCTCAAAACATTTGCTTTCTGCTTGAGCCTTTGGTTATATCAGCTCATTTCTCCCCTCCGTCACGAACCCTTGATAATTTATAAATTATTATTTCTTCATGTCTTACACTGTCGGATGTCTCCCTTCACCCACTTTTCTGTTGTCCATCCCCCAGGGAAGGGGTTATACGTAGATCATTGTGATTGGTTCCTCCTTTCTCCACCATCTTCCCCTCCCCTCCTGGTATCAATACTCTCATTATTGGTCGTAAGGGTTTATCAGTTCTGGATTCCCTGTGTTTGCAGCTCATGTCTGTACCAGTGTACATCCTGTGGTCTAGCCAATTTGTAAGGTAGAATTGGGGTCATGATAGTGGAGGGGAGGAAGCATTAAAGAACTAGAGGAAAGTTGTATGTTTCATCACTGCTACACTGCACCCTGACTGACTTGTCTTGTCCCTGTGACCTTTCTGTAAGGGATGTCCAGTTGCCTACAGATGGGCTTTGGGCCTCC